GAAATGTCAGGAATATCAGAACCTGAGCACCTGCATTCTGTCAGAGAGCTTTGACAACATCTCTGGAGGACCTGGAAGGTGAGGTGATAGGAGGCTGAGAGCAGATATGCAGCACTCACAGGACCTAGTTAAATTGGAGAAAATGTTGAATTAAAAAGTCTTATTTGGAAACGTCCAAACCTATAACACCAATATTGTAATGTAACCATTGTACCAATGGGCAGGGCTGCTATACAGTTCACCTGTAAGTGTCTTGTGCAAGACCTCACAGTGAGTCAGTGGTGGAAATGTGATGAGCAGTTTCAAGTTCCTGGCTACCAGTCCTATGCTTGGTCCAGTAACCCATGTTGTCTCTTAATTTTCCCAACCCCAGAGTTTAGTCTAAAAAGTTTATAAAAATGCTTATCAGTTTAAAAATAAAGAATTTTTTTTTAAAATCGCTTCTATGTGATTCTGCTATTGTGTTACCACTCTTAACACTGCATCATCATTTTCATTCCACCTCCCTATTATCAGGGATTGTACAGCTTGGCTGTAGAAATTCATGCCAAGCTTTGCAGGGGTGAAGTTTGTCTTGTAAACAAAATTTAAAAATCTCAGTCTCAATAACTTTTTAATTTACAGAATGGCATAAATATATTTCCCTTTTGTGCTCTCTAACTGAAAAATAGCTTTAATAGTCAAATACATTTTGGGAAACCAATAGTCTATAATGTAAACAACGAGGAGTGTGGTGGCACCTTAAAGACTAACAGATTTATTTGGGCAAAAGCTTTAAGGTGCCACCGGACTCCTCATTTGTGGATACAGACTAACACGGCTATCCCTCTGATACTAGTGTATAATGTAGAATTTTTTGAAAATGTATTTTGCCAAGTTATTTAAATTAGAAAAGCAGCTGCCACATAGGCATGGCTTAAATTCATCCAGAGCCCTCCAAAGCAGAGCTCTGGTAAATAGTTTCAAACCCGCTGAAGCCCAGAGCCCCAGCACATCCCGCAGGGCAGAAGCCCCAAGCCCTGGTGCCTCCCACAGGGCTGAAGCCCCAAGCACTGGGGCTCTGGGAAATACTTGGGGAGAATTTAATTGCTGTTCATATAGTTATTCGGCACATGTAAATCTTCCAGTTAAAGGCTCCCAAAGCACTCACTGATGCACTGTAACTGTTCCTTTGGAGCCACTGAGTAGATATTGTACTGTGTGAAACATGCATATTGAGATGGTATGCTAGCATCATTAAAGTATATTGTGTCAGTGATCTATAGGGAAGGGGAAGGTATCTGACTTCATGAAGAATCACTGAACTTATTATTATGAGGATGGCAATTTCTTATCATTACAGATTTAGATAAACACAGTTATTTTCTGGTGTTTTTAGTGAGTTACTGCCAGAGGTTCCCACGGTGGTTGGTTAGATCTTAGAGCAGTTGTTTAGCAGATAATTGCTTTTTTATTTTCTGACATTTCCAAGTGAATTAATTTAATATTTATGATCTAATCCTGCGCGGTGCTGAGCGCCCTCAAACTCCATTGCTTTTACTGGGATCTGCAGCACCTTGACATGATTAGGCCCTTAATGTTTGATCTGAACCTCTTCAAAGTTCGGGGGATGTTTATCTCTTGGGGTTGAGTTCAGACCCCTTGCTCACAAAACCAATAGCCAGCATCCCAGAGGCACCATGTAAGAGCTACACTTTGCATTGTTGCTTTTGCTCTCCATGTTGTGATACATTGGCATCTGTTCTCTTATTGTTCTACCATGGCGTAAGAGAGCACATCAGAGAACTTCAGGAGGAGAGACATTAGATACTATAGGCGAATTATAGTAAATTCAATCTGTGTACTAAATGTTTATATTTATTTCATTGTATTTCCCCCTCTCAGTCTTTAAAGCTTCTTTGACAAATGAATTCAGTAATCAGTATGTAACAGCGCATCACTTTAAATCTTGTACAAGACATTGTGTCTACAGAGAATAAAAAAATGCTGTCTTGTGTTTCCAAATAATGTTCATGCTGGAAGATAGAAGCTTTCTGTTCTACATGCACTGCAGTTACTCTGTTTTTTTCCCTCCAGAGATTCTATTATAGAATAAATGACCAAATACACCTAAATTTCATGTCCCTGAATCTCTGAATATAATGTTAGGCAATAGTTTGAACTTCATATACAATAACAAATAAATGAACAGACTTCTTGCAATAGCATGGTTGTATAGTTAAAAAAATGGAAAATGACTGTTTATTAGTGCACTGCATTATGGAGGCACTGGTTGCAAGTATAGTTAAGGTTGTACCCAGTGTTCCAGTATATGGCTTATTGTGACATGCGGTCTTTTCCCCCACAAAACTTTTTAGCGGAAGGAGCTAATGTTCTGAATGTGCATGTGCTTAAGGTAAGTGCGTGCTAGAATTTTTCCAGATGATTTTTCAGAAGTGCAAGATATGGTTCTATGGCAAAGACTCCAGAAATCTGTTTTTCCCAATTAAAAAGATGCCATTATGACATTTCTAGCCACCTATATCCAGGGATGCTGGACCAATTTGTATAGTGGGGGTGCTGAGAGCCTTTGAACCAAACTGTAAACCCTGTATATGATGGAAACCACTTCAAGCCAGGGGGTGCAGACACACCCCCAGCACCCCTAGTTCCAGCACCTATGCCTATATCAGAATAGTAGTTTACTGTGAAAGTGAAATTTCATACATGATCTGTATTTTAAACTCACTGTTGTTAATTTTGTAACTTCCAGTGTGGAAGTGGTGTATTTATTAGACCTAAAAAGTAATCCCGTAATGGCTAGTATTCCCTGTTATAAGCCAAGGCCTGAAATCCTTACTCAGGGCCTCATGCTCCCCAGTGTGGGATAGTCACCAGCTAGGGTGAGTTCTGACTCACAGTTTTCCAGGAATTCTTCCATTGAGGGCAGGGTTTGACCCCCCCAGAAAAAGTGGACAGGGCTCCAGTCCTAAATCTCAAGGCTCTCCAGAAGCATGAGCCATGTACATAGAAGCCATATGGCTCCGCATTGCTCCTTGCCTCATGGGTCCTATATGACCTGGGCTGCCACTGCCTAGGGACTGCCTCTGGGGATGTGGAGTGGTGTTCTCTCTCTATGTGCTAGCTTGTTCCATTTTGCCCCAGGGTATGGGAAGAAACATTTAGCATCAGTCCCACCCTCTCTGTGCTTGCAAATCTGTATCCTTGTGAAGCTCTTGAGGAGGGGCTTCCTCAGGGTCTGGGGGGGAGCAGGAAGCATGCTGCAGAGTCAGCTCTCCTTCCTCTCTTGCTTCCACTGGCTCAGACCAGTAGGTTTAAGCTCCTTTCTACTCTTTGAAGCCGGGTGGGCAGAGGAGGGGAGGGCAAGGGGAGCACGAGATGCTCTGTTCTGACTCTGTCCTTATTGACGGAAATTTCTTATTGTAGCCAATGCGAGATTTACCTGAGTATTGACTAGGAAGGTGTGGCCCAACAAACATACTGCTCTTTCATAAAAGAAGCTTTGCATTTACTCACATTCCTTGTGTTTTCATAGATGAAATATTCTAGTGTAGATTCTCTTACACCGATCTTTTTTGCTACCAAATTTCAAACAGTTCAAACAATTTTGGGTTTCCCATTGTGTTTCTGTATACGGCAAGTTTCATACTATAGACGTTCACTGTTAGTGAAGTTCACCCCATCCTCCACCAGCTGCACAAAGCCCAATTGGATGGCTTTAAGCAGAGAACTAAGCAAGGGCTAGGTAGATAGACTCCATCCTCTGACAGGAGGATGCTGGCTATTTGTGGGAAGCAGCCCATGGGAGCATTCCTGGCCTTTGGATCTCCTTTAATAGCAAATCTATGGCCTGCCCCAACACTATCCTCTTGTGTTGTCTCTTCAGGCCAGCAGAGGTTCCTCCTGCCTGCTTCACTGTGCGTCCCCCTCTCTCTTCCTGTATGCAGTAGGATTAGGAGACTTTACAGCACAGAGGCTGTTGCACAGACTCTCCACAAAAAGGTTAATTTCACCCTCTGAGCAGGTCCCACCTTGGCATTCTTTAGGTAGAAGGGAAAAGGGACCATCAGCCCTCAGGGTGGGAGTTTGCAGTTGCTTCCACCATATCCAGTGGCTTTTAAGCCATGTGGGATGCGGGCAATGAAGATGATCTGGCAAAAAGAGATACAACATTGAGTGAAGAGAATTAGAATGATTGGATAACTGGCAAACAGTATGGGTAGAAATTAAAACTTGGTCAGTAACTCACTGATGTAGAAGTATAGTGAACGCATAACTGTTTCGCTATGTGCTACAAAAGGTGTGTCGTCCCCCCCCTCCACCTGCTCTCCTGCTGGTAATAGCTCACCTTACCTGATCACTCTCGTTACAGTGTGTATGGTAACACCCATTGTTTCGTGTTCTGTGTGTATATAAATCTCCCCACTGTATTTTCCACTGTATGCATCCGATGAAGTGAGCTGTAGCTCACGAAAGCTTATGCTCTAATAAATTTGTTAGTCTCTAAGGTGCCACAAGTACTCCTGTTCTTTTTACGGATACAGACTAACACGGCTGCTACTCTGAAATACGTGTTATGAATACATACAAAAGGATTTTCTTCCTCTCGCTGAATACCAGCTTTGTTGGCAGGTTGATTATTTATTTTATATTCCGGATGAGATGTTCGTACCTTTAAAGTCCTGGTGTCACACTGAAACTGCTGCATTTCCTTAAGTTATTTAATTATCCATTAGCACAATGGCACCTGTTGGTCCATTCCCTGCTTAGTCTGCTGACCAAGCAAAGCAATTTGGTACTTTGGTAGAATCTTTGTTAGCAAAGGAGCACATTTTACCTGGTTTCCCCTACACAGAGACACATTTTTAGATAGATTTTATTATACAGAATTGTGAGTTTTTTTCCGATGTGAAACAATTAGAATGGTGCTGTTTATTTACAGTCCTTAATAAGAGCCCGGGAGCTGCTCATTCACGTGCTTCATGTTGATTTCCTTTCAGAAAGAGAAGAAGAGCGGATTGTTGAAACTTTTAGCCGGCGCGTCAACAAAAAAGAAATCACGCTCCCCTCCATCTGTGTCTCCAACACCGGACCCACAGGGAGCCGTGGAGGGAGCTCTGCAGGGAGCGGTGGGACCTGAACTCTCCTCACTCTCCAGCCATGGCAGGGCAGGTTCATGCCCAATTGAAAGTGAAATGCAAGGAGCTATGGGGATGGAGCCACTGCACAGAAAAACAGGCTCCTTGGATTTGAATTTTTCCATTCCTTCTCCTGCCAGGCAGCTACCTTCTTCGTTGGCAGCCATCCGTCCAGAGCCCAAGCCATTGCACCGGGAAAGGTATGCTGATGGAGAAGAGTTTGCCTATGAGCTAAGGGTGTTCATAATTTCAGTCTGCCTGTCACTTGCACGTAAAGGAATGTTTGTGGGAAAGAGGCAAAGTTTGGCTTGCATGAGCATCACTGCAGTTCTGCAGCCCCCCACCCCTCCACCCCGTTTTTTTTAAGCCATCTGAGGCTATAGATTGTCCAGCTATTCATTAGAATTAGAAAATTCAGGCCCTCTGCATGTAGAAAACCAGCCAAAACATGTGTAAGGCATAATGCTCACCGTTAAAAAGTCAGCATTTGCCAACAGAAACAATGTGCTCATCACACAGTTATTTCCTATTCTAAGTATAGGAGAAAGCTGTGGTATCTCACACCACTGTATGTGGAAGCTGTTGGCAAATGCCACTTTTAAAGAGTGATCACTGTATATTAATAATCACAAAGGATTGTCATGCAATACTTGGTATACTGTGTATCCCATGTTTGTCCGTTATATCTGGCCTACCGTGCAGTAGCAAACAAGGGTCTTTTTAAAATGTATGGTCACTTACGTCATTACTGTCACTTAAGCCTTTACACGCTGTCCTGAAGTATTTTTGTTCCAGAAGTGGTTGATAACTAGCATAGAGAATAAGACTAGGATTCTAGAGTTTGGCAGTCCGCTCTGCATCTTGTTATCCATAAAGCTGCTGATTTTGCAAACCCAGAGAGAGGAGGCAAGGTGGCAACACCAAAAAAAGAAAAAGACAGGCAAGAAAAGGGAGAACAGAGTAAATGGAGAGACATGCCAAGATGTCAGGCCATGTCTGTTTCCAAAGTTACATATATTTTAAGGTTAAACTAGTTTAAAAACCAGTTTAGTTGAAGGGGTGCAAAACCAAACCTTGTGTAGACACTCTTAATTTGACATGTATCAACTGAGCTTAATTCAGTAAGGACAGCAAAAATCTCACCTTGAATTAAACCAGTGCATCCTTGACATAGACAAGGCCTCAGAAACAAAGATGAGGAGAGAAGCAAGAAAGGCGTCCCCCAGCGTCTCTTGTGCTGACTGTTGTGGCACGGCTTTGAAAGCACCACTTCAACGATGCAGAGAATTCCTAAGGGTGGGATTGAGATGCTGGTGCATATCCCGTATTTTCCCAGTCTAACACTGCACCTAGGGATGGCGCTGACAGTGAAACAGGTGACCGATTATACCTGTATTGACTGCAGTGACGGGGGGTAGCAGTAGAATGAGAGGGCCATAGGACGAGTTCTGTATGATCAGTGTTATTAAAACTAAGAACAAATGGATCTATAGAGACAGGATGTTTAAAATGTTACAAATATTACTAATTTCAATATGCAGTGGTAAAGAAAGTATTCTGATTTTAAGCATTTTGATTTCCTGAATCTAAAGTCTGAAAATAAGCTATAATTGAAATAATCTTAATTATACCCAGCAGTCAAGATTCTCTAATTGATTTATGAATTAACTTCCATTAACTTTGGTGTATCTGCATTCCTTAACTGATCATATGGTTGTTTATGCCTATAATGGGGAATATTAATTACCTTCAGACTCTAGGAAGTATAATGCTTAGTCCTGGAATAATCTGAGCAAATACTTTTATAAATTCATCCCACATCCATTGGTGTTCATTAAATCACCAAATTGCTCAGAAGTACTAAATTATTTTTTTTAACAAATTACATTTTTGAAACCGCTTGTACATTTCACATCTGGCAATGGAGGAACTTGTGCTCAGCATCTCTGAACTCCATATTTTGCTTGTTTGCATCACAATGTATTTCATCTCCACAGGAGGACCAATTCTTTATTTGCATGGATGGAAAATAAAGATTGGATAAACAGATTTTGATGCTGGATGAAATTTAAACAGAGGAAAAAAAGCTACAAAACATTTGTGTACACTTAGCTATACTTGGCTTTTAATTTCCCAGTGCCCATCTGTGCACATAGAGACAGTACACTGAAAGATTGGAAGGAGTAGCACATTCCTTAATATTTACAACATTCCAAATGGGGCGCATGAAGCCAGCAGAACCAGGGTACTTCTTCCACTAAAACTGGCTTACAATTCCTGCACTCACTGCATGCAGACTAGAGAACAAAACCAAGCATTCGACATTTGCACCATATCAGAAGTGCCTCAAAGAACTCTAATTGCTGACAGCTTGTTTTTCACACAGTAAAGAGGAATTCTGGTCCATTACATTACAGTTCTTTGTGCATGGAAATTGCAGCAGATCAGGAAGGAAAGTGAGGTTTACCTTATCACAGACCGTGCTAATTTTATAGTCCTATTCCCTTGGCATAGGCAGATAGAGTGGGAAAGAAATTTAATTTTGATTTGCTATGTTTATGTATTTCCAGAGCCCGGTTTTGGTTTGGGGGAGGTTAGGCTGGAGAGGAAGGCACATTTGTCCTTGCTTACTTGTGTTTAAACCAATCTGCCAGGATTGTGAGGTTTATCATCTGTTACTGCATTCTGGGGAGCAATTTTCCCGCTGTCTTTTCCTAATGCCACTTTACTTGTGCTGCTGTATGCCAGAAAGCATATAGCATTTCCAGTAGCTGAGATGAGAAACTTCACAGCTGCTACTATTGTCACTGTGTTGCATAGGTTAACTAGCAAGTGTTGCTGTGCTGAACACCATTTTAGGCTGCATGTGTTCCAGATATTGTCATCTCTGTGCTGCTACTGTCAGTTTCCCATGGTACAGGAACGCTGGGGCTGTAGCACACTGTACTGATTGTGGAGAGCTGGGGGAGTTCCTGATCCTGCAGCTCTTGCTCACATGAGCAAGTCCCATTGGCATCACTCAAGCTACTCACAGTGAACAGCAGATGTAAGATTCAAAGGTCTGTCTAACAGCATTAAGGCTAAATAGGCTCCTCATGTCATTTCACTGTGATCACTCTAAATGAAAGAAGGACTTTCATTTGCCTTCTCTTTCAGCAAAATACAAATGTACATACAGCAACATTGACAAGATTATGGTGTGTAAATGAGAGTATTTAAGCGTGTGTATATGTGACAGAGAGAAAGAGAGAGAATGCTCTCCTCAGTGGTTGGCATTGTGCCCGGACACAATCAACTGTAAAACTGTCATTTACTGCATTCTCAAGTCTTACACGATATTGTATGGTAATATTATCATTACATTCCTTCCCCGCCGGTTCCCAGTCTTCATCCCTGGGCTTCTCATCCAGTCATAGTCTCTCCTTTCCCAGTACGCTCCCTGGCTCCTTCTCCCAGTCTCCTGTTCCTTGGATCCTTGTCCTAGTAGTCTCTTTGCCCAGACAGTTCCAATCGCAGTCCAGCGCCTCATCTGATCTGTGTTTTCCCTCCTTCCCACCAAGGTTCCCAGTCTCCCCCAACTCCCAGTCCTGGTGTCCTGGCCATGCCAGTCTCAGGCTGTTTGCCCCCCCCGAGGAAGAGTGCCAGTCCCCCCATCCACAACTCCCAGTCACAATTTGTCTGCTGCACTCTAGCCTCCAGTCCAGTCTCACCAGGCTGACAAAAAGATCACACTCTGCCAAATTTCAAGTCCCTGCTCCAGAACATGGAGGTGCTAGAAGCTTCTCACAGAAAAGACTACCAAAACAATTTTTAACATTGCAAAGTGACAGATTTTTCCCTAGCCTCCTTCTCAGAAATGACTGTTATGACTGAAATTTTAAAAATAATAATACATAATAATAAAGAGCCTGAGGTAGACACCCCCTCCCCCCACATGGAACATTTCTGCTGAAACGGTTAAAGTTTTGCCAAGTTATAAGCAGCTGAACACAAGATCTCATCATGGGAACTGTCGGTCAACCTTAATAATAAATGTACTTCCAACCCTACCGATAATTGTGATAGACACAAGGCTGTTTGCATGTCTAAATTATGAAATTTTTAATGCAGTCTGTGACACTGACAGATTCCAACATTCTTCTGAGTGCCACATAAGATGAAAGGCTGTGCCACAGATGAAAGAAAACTTACTGTTGCCAAGTAGTGGTCAGGGAAAAGGGGAGGGAAGGAGGGAGGGGAAAGCAGAGAGGGATAGAAGTATGCCGGGCTTCCCTGTAAGGAGGGGGCCAAATCTGGGGGGAAGAGTGGGAGGCGATTTAAAACAGTAGGACTAATGTGTATTTTAAACTAGGTTACTGAGAAAAACAAGGCATCGCAGGCTTTGACTGGAATGATTTATGATGTTTAGAAACCCCTTCGTGGCAGCAGCGCCATGTGATTCTTTGGTTTGTACATTGGAACCTCAGTAACGCTCGCTTTCTTCGTCCACAAATCCAAGAATCTCAGGGAAAAAAATATAGCCAGCCCACCCCATGTTGCTGCAAAGATTTCACAGCAGATCTGAAAATGAGATCTTTTATTACTGAGATTTCATTATTTTTGTTCAATATGCCGATATGTTTACTGTGAAGTATCGTGATTAATTAAAATTAAATTACAGTTGTTAAATAATTTTAAAAAGTACATTTTGTAATGCAGTAGCCTGGATTTATTTTTTAAATCTTTAAAGAAAGCCTCTAAAGAATCCCTTATTACTAGGATTGTCACCTTTTTAATGGCTAGTAACCAGACCCCCAAGACCCCCATCCCCTGCTCCGCCTCTTCCCCCAAGTCCAAGTCCTCTTCCCCCAACATTGGAAAGAGATTGGTTTTGATGTGTTTGATAATCTTTCTGGCTAATTTGAAACATTTAGTAAATAGCAATTGGTCTCAGCCATCAGTGAGATTCTATTCTGTATTTAAAAGGATGGACTTGTCGTTAAGATACCACGCTATAAACCAGGGGTTCTGTTCCGAGAACTGTTGTAAACCTTCACTGTGACCCAAGGCAAGTTATGTCACTTCTCTGTGCCTTAATTTCCTCATCTGTGAAATGAGGTTAAAAATGCTGCCCAGAGCTGTTGTGAGGCTTGATCCCTTGTGTCCATAAAGCACTCCAAGATCTGGAACACAACTGCAAAAATGCTGTTAATGTAGATTCAATTGAGCTGAGTTCAGAGAGCTGAAGTTTGGCATCATCTTCGCTAAAATTGTTCCAGTCTGATAATTTAATTAATCAACATTGAAGCAGAGTGTCTGAGATAATGTGTGCATTCATTTGCATAATGGCTGTAATTGGCAAAGCCTCATAATATAAGTGTGGCGGTTCTGCAAATGACAGTAGGATAGACTGTTTTCTTGTAGCACACACTTCAGCCTCTGTTATTTGCTTTTCCACACAGGAAAAAGTGACAGCTAAATGTACTGGCCAAGGGAAAAGATGACTAACTGATTTTTGATGGTTCTTGACATGGATATATATTCTACATGACTATGTTGCTACTTCAAGATAAAAAACTTCTAATCAGGTTTTAGAGCAGAACTCCCACTTCTGAATGGGGCCAAAAATGTTTACGAGTAACAGGATCTTTGGCCCAGCTGCAGTGAGCAGTTCCTTTAGCCAGATCTAGCAATTTCACTGTCACATGTTTGAGTCTGTAGCTTCACAGCAGCCAGCAGCCAGCCAAGCTGTGGTTGCAAAGAAAATTAACTCCTGTCATTCAGTTTCAGAGAGGCCCTTGATGTGGCATCAACCCACTGGCAATCGATTCAGTGAATTTAGGGTAATGTTGTGCTTTAAGATTCTCCAGTGCATATTTAATTTAACTATAAGACAGATCATCATTTTAAATAAATACTTGACTGTTATAAGCATCAATTGGGAATGAATGACCATGCAGCAAATACAATAGATAGTAATCTTCAGAAGATGTTTTGAATAATCAATTGGCTTTTCTTTAACTATCTTTACCATATTCAATGCTTTGCAACTAGTGAGACAGTTACTGATCGTTAAATGCCAGCTGAAATGACGTGCTGAGGAGGAACACCCGAGGTATTAGACTCATGTTCACTGGCCTATACACAGATCGGCTTGGGAATTTTCTGATGAAACTGGCTTTTCACTGGAAAATGCCAATTTGCTGAAACCAAACTGTTTCACAACAACATATTCGTCTTGACAAACTGCCGATGAAACATAAGCAGCTCCTGCCAGCTCAACTGGTGGACGGCTGAGGAGCCCCGGCTCCCTGGGCCCAGGTCTCTAGGGCAGTCTCACCATACGGATTGCTCCAGGGTCAGGAACTCCAGTTGTAGCCAGGACGTGGCTGACAACTCCACAGCAGGGGAGCTGGGAGTCCCGAGAACCTCAGCTCATGCAAGGGCTCTTGGGACTTCCAGGCTTGCTGCTGTGGAGCCAGAAGCCTTGGAGACATAGCTGCCAAGCTTTGAGACTCCCAGATCAGCCGTGGCTCCAGAGCGTCAAGATCTCCAGCTCCCCATTCTTGTGTTTGTTTTCTCTTCCGTAGGAAATCTGAATGTCTCCACTTTTTCTTCTATAACAGAATCCTCTTTTCAGAATTTCTTGCGGAACACACATTCCACATTTGCACCAGCCTAAATCACAATCCGTAGGTTTTTACGTAACATAGAATGACGCTTGGAAACTACATACCTGAACGGCTCTGTCATCTCTTTGGGGGCAGGGACCACCTCTTTGTTTGGACTGTGCTCCAAAGAGTGAGCCTTTGAGCTGTGTCCAGGGCCCCTAGGCACTACCATACTACTGCTAATACTCAAAATGATTTTACGTGAAATTAAAAATTCTTTGTGAATTGTCCAAAGAAATCCAGGACATTGCTCATTTGCAAACGCATACAAAAGTAACTCTGTTATTAGTACAGACATTTAGAAGCTACTGTATGCTCTGGTGATTTAGCTCTAAGAGCAACCTGGATGGACCATTACGACGTCATGGGGAACCTTGCCTTAGGTAAAGGGGACAAAACAGGAGATTGAGGTGCAACCTATTTTAGTTTGAGAAAGAGGATTAATTTCTGTCCCACCCAGCCCAGAATGGCCTTAGGTTTGTGCCAAGAAACACAGGTTCTACTGATCTGGGGGGACATGCCCACTACGCCCAGCAATATACCACTAAATAGCCTCCAGCAGCCCCTCACACCTTGAACGATGAACTGTGGGGAACCAATCCACAACCCTCTCGAGGCCCCTATTCACTCATTAAATCCTTCTGACCCCATTTCACCCCAATAATAGAATCCTCCCGACCTTCTGCCCCCGGTGGTATAACCCTCATGTCACACCCTGAATGCCAAGCAGGCTATCTACCAACTGTCCCACGCCATGACTGGCTATGCTACTTGAACAACTGGTTTTGAAGGATACACAGCTGTGTCTTCACAAAGGGCCTTGTTGCTGAAGCCAGCTCTGAGCTCAGTTTCTTTCACTCTAAAGACCCCAGAATAGTTTAAAACTAAAGCTGGTGGCATTGGTGAAAACTAACATTTTTGTGAATTTTTTTCCACCCAGCTCTATTTAAAAGTAATGGAATCGATTCTCTAATGAGCTGCAGCCAGCTGTGGAGCAAACCACGGTGCTTGTGGAAAAGCATGCCACAGCACTACGCAACAATTTAGAACAAGAAGTGCGGAAGAAACTTCTGAGGAAGTTTAGGCTGCAGTGTAATGACCTAAACTGGACTTTGACCAGGATGCTGGAGCTAACCTCCCCTGTGCCCTTTTCTGAACAATGCCCTGGGGCCATTGAAGATCGCATGAGAGCCAGAGCTGTTTTATATCATTAAAAAGGCAGCACCTAAAGTAGCACAGGGCTCCCAACATCATCCTGGGGCATTGCTTCAGTACTGATTTTGAGGGAAGAGTTTGTCATCTATTGAACTCATGAACATGGTCACCTATGGTTTTCCTAGAAAGTCTCCCCTTTAAATAGCAATCAGCCCTGACCCTGTATAGTTCTTAAGAGGGGACAAGACCACATCTGAAGAGGTCTGGCTTCAGGCAGATGCAGGTGATCCAGGACATGGGGTGATCCAAGCCAAATTAGCTTGCAGAGCTGCTGGTTTGTCCCTGCAGCCTGTCTTTCGTGGCCGTGCCCTGGTGAGGGTCCTACTCCAAACAGCATCGGCACACTGCTTGATTTGTGCTTGATAAGGTATTCTCTTTTGTTTTCAAAGGTACCGTGTCGTGGTTCCATATCCTCCTCAAAGCGAAGCAGAGATTGAACTGAAAGAAGGTGACGTTGTGTTTGTGCACAAGAAGAGAGAGGATGGCTGGTATAAGGGGACGTTACAGCGAAATGGCAGGACGGGCCTCTTCCCTGGAAGCTTTGTAGAGAGCTTCTGAGGGCTTGCTTTCTTCCCCGTCACCACTCTCCGAACTGAAAGATCTTTCAGGGGAAATTCCATAGCACAAGAAGAGACAGCAAAGGGAAATGTGACTGATATCCACTGCCACTGTTACGTCCAAAGACTCCCCGGGCCCTTCATTCTACAGCTCTGGAAGCACAGCGCCTGCTGTGCTCCCAAAACCATGTTCAGTACGTCCAGGGGTGTGTTGAAGTAGTGCCTTCCACTTGGAATCACAGGCTGAGAGGATGCACATTTGGTTTGTATCGAAACTAAACTCCAACTGTTCCCCATTATGTACATTATAGAGAAAATATCTTTTAAAAAGTTGTTATATTGCTGTAACTTATTTGTCAGAGCTGCAGTGTTCTTATTACTGGCCTATGCAAGATGGGTTTGGGTGTGGCAGGAGGCAGAGTAGGGAGCTCTTGAACTGGGATTTTATATTTCCTGGGGGAAAAGAGGAGAGTATGGCAAAATCCAACTAAAGATCTGTGCATTGTTCTGCCAGAAAGCATTAGGAGTCCAAAATGTTAGTGTCATGCATTCTATATACCTCAAAAATATGCTGCATGAGGATGTCAGTAAGTGTGTTAGTGATCAGGGTTGCATTTCATCTGAAGTGCCTGTGAGATGCACTGGGCAGGTGCTCAAGGAACTCCGGCTCCAGCATTCAACTGCGGTTCTTGGAGTTATTTATATGCAGCATTTTTTTGCCCATCCAGTATCCAACTTTCCATTGCTTTTTTTCTTTTCTTTTTTTTTTTGGGTATGACATGCCGTTTTTAATCGTTTGCAGTGTTGTTGCAGCTGTGTTGGTCCCAGGATATTAGGGAGGCAAGTTGGGTGAGGTAATGCCATTTATTGGACCAACTATTTGGTCCAACAAAAGATATTGCCTTACCGACATTGTCTCTCTAATTAATACCTTTTTAATGTAAGAACCGTTATACGTTTTATATATATATATATATATATTCTCCTAATATATATATATTCTCCTAAGGGATCAGGCGTTTCCTGTTTTTCATACATCTGGTGCTTTTATTATTATTATTTTATTATTAGGAAGATCCTCTTTGGCTTAAGAGAGAGACTGTTAACAGCAACATCAACAGACTTCACATTTAACATGTGAATTCTGAAATGTACTGAAAGTAGATTTCATCAGGATGAATATGTTTGTTAGTCCTACATGAAGCAAGAGAGAAAAATCAGATTAGGTGGTGATATATGTGTGTGTGTGTGTGTGTGTGTGTGTGTGTGTAACTCACTTTCTTTATATATAGTTTCTAAAGACCCTTAATAAAGCACAGTAATCTGTCTAGACAATGATAATTATTCAAGAATTGGGAGCATTTCCAGGAGGAGCGATTTTAATTGACTTTTATATGGCAATAAAAAGAACACTGCAGGTTCCAGCAAGCACCGGAATCGTGGGATTTTCCTCTGTCTTTGCATCAGAGAGAAGAGAGCTGAACTGCAACGACTGTAATTAGCATTGTCAAAATGTGATTTTTTTTTACTGTAGAAATGTACAGTTCTCAACACTGTTCTAACCTGGTCAAGCTACAATACAAAATATATCAGGCAATATAACCCTCCATCTACAAGGGACCTAAAAGTGCAATAAATGGAAAGCAAGTTTATGCAGTTATTTGTATCAAACAAAGCAGAGAAAAATCCGATAATGAAAGTGTGGGAGTATTTTAAAAAGAGATTCAGTTGTGGTCTCCTGTAACAAAGTTGTAACAAAAGAATATTCTTAACTATGTTGTGCCCTGCCTTTCCTAGTGACTGGCTGCTTGCCCAGATCAAGATATGGCGGTCATTCAAGACTATGTTAGAGTTTTAGTAACCTGGAGATGATCTTAGTAAAAAGAGGAGGCCCAGTGGGTGTATGCCAGTACTTTGTTCTCAGTATTTCTTACGCTGAAGATGTAGGTTTTGTTTTCATTCAAGCCATGTATGCCAGCACATATCAAAACATGTATACGTGAACATTCCTACTTATGACAGGTTGAAGTGAGCTGTAGCTCACGAAAGCTCATGCTCAAATAAATTGGTTAGTCTCTAAGGGGCCACAAGTACTCCTTTTCTTTATTCCTACTTATGTTGAACTGAATGACTTCATTCTCTGTAAAATAAGTTTCTCTTCCTGTCATTTGTAACAGATTTCAGAAACACAGTCTGCAGCCTAGTATTACACCTTCAAATCACAGAAACATTATTTGAGGGGGAGGGGTTTTTTAACGTTACCACATTTGTTCATGTTCCAGGTTGTAATCAGTCATCAGTAAAATAAATGGTTAGTGTTACGAGGAAATTGCCTTTTTATAACCAATAAGAGCTTTAAGAAATTTCTTCTGCAAAAGGCTGATTGAAGAACACAGCACTATCTATCCAGTCATTTCATCCAAATCGGAAATGATATCTCTGCACCTTGAGCCATGATCTGGGCAGCTAGCAAGCTGGCAATGCCCCCCCAAAATGTGTTATACACACACACACATACATCTGTTTCTGAGAATGCTAACCAAGAATTTATAGATAGATAGATTAGATAGATAGATATAAATTCTTGGTTAGCATTGTCAGAAACAGATTTTTCTGACAAACTATTGTGGCTAAATATCTGTTAAAATTCTGTTCCATGGTATATATACTATATCCAGAGAAATGAAACAGGAATAATATTGTATTCAGTCAGATCTAAAGTAGTTCCAGATTTCAATGTTCTAATGCTTAAATCTAACAAGACAAAAGCCGTTATGGAAGAAAATACAGAAATGTCTGTGTAAAATCAGTGTTTTTAAATGTATTTTGCAGTCAGGGCAATAATAATTTTTAACTATACATGATGAGGGCAAAATAACCCTTTCAGTCACACGTCCTGTAAGGAGAAATATTTTTTGGTGTTTGATACTTTGAAAGCAGCTGTTTCTGGTCCCCATTTATTGCTTACCATAATAGTTTTGGTTTTTGAATAATTTTCTTGGACAAATCAATTCCATGCAAAGAGCACAACTGCAGAACATAAGACTGATCAGTGGTACAAGAAAATGACCCAGTGCCATTTAGGAAGTCCTTGACCATGGGAGGGGATTGGCGCTTACTGTGATCCATTTTTAAATTGCATACAAAGGAAAGACAAAGGAGGGGAAGGGAGTGTGCGTGCGTTTCCTACAAGGAAAAAAAAAGTTAAAGAATCCTTCTGGCAGCCTCATTTTGTAAAATGCCAGGTTTGCTGATCTAGAAATGGTTTCAGCTAATTGAACAATTCCTTTGTACTTTGCACAGCTCAGAAAATGTTTTTTGTTATACATGAATGTTAACGTGATTTAGAAAATATTGATGGTTACGAGTACAAATGAACTACAAGGACTGTGTTTCTGATGCTTTAAATAAAATAAACATTGAGGTCACTTGAGTGAGTTTTCCATCTTTATTTAGATGGTAAAGAGATTATACAAAACAGGTGTCCTGAGGCTCACAATAAAGATAGTCAGAGGGGCCCAAGAGATTTATGCTCCTAACTTCCCTTCCTGTGAGGATCTGGGCCAAGGTGACTTTGAAAAAGGGGTGAAGGCAGAGAAATGTCAGGAAATGCTTCAAATGAAACAGTATTTTCACATAAAGAGCTTTAGTCCACAAACCCTACTCACATGGAGTACAAAGAGAGTCACTGAATCCAATGTATTAAATTGGAGTTTCGCATGAATAAATACTATTGGATGTAAAAGCTGCAGCAGGGGGCCTTAATATAATTATATGGCTTAGAGCATAGCATACTATCTTATATCAATTGATACCCTTTATTTTCCCAAATAAATTGGAGCAAGTGCTCTATAGTTTGTTCTCTTATGACATGAGCCAACACCTGTAGCAGGACCAATATGTGTTTTGACAACACATGCTCTTGACAACACATACTTTTCTATTGTTGGGGGGGGAACTTCTAGATGGGTTTTTTTTAAAATGTGTCCATTCAGTCAGTTTTTGCTGACACAGACTAACATGGATACCCATCTGAAACTCCTTAGACTGAGGGGCAGGGAGAGACAGTACCCACTACATCACAGAGTGAGGACGAGAAGAACATTCCCCCCAACCTTTATCTAGGGCCCCTAGCACCCTCTCACCTGATGTAAGCTAGATAGTTATAGGGGACTCAAGGATTTAGGGTGGGTTAGTGCAGTGTGGCTGAGGGGCAAATGAGAGCTATGGCAAGTGGTTGGGGATGAGTGTGGGACAGCTATGGGGGTGAGCGATTTGTGTAAGATGGACACTTGGCTGTGAAAGAAATTAGTGGATTTGTGCAAGGGGGAGAAAAGGAGTTTGGGGAAGCTTGAAGCGTGTAGCTAAGGACAGAGGTTAAAGGGTTAGTGAGCAAGGGAAGGCAGGAGGGAAGGTGTGAATATTAATGATTATAGTATGGATTGGGATGAACCTATTGGCAGACTACAAAGACACAAAGGAGAGACCCAACTGCTGAGAAAAAAGGAAGGGGAACAAAGAGCCTGGAGAGAGAGACCAAGAGTGGGACGAGCAGACACGGAAAATGGAGGAGGACAAGGCATTCAATGGAAGGAAAGAAACTGGAGTGACAGGAGAACTAATAAATGTCACTTGTCAAACATTTAGTCAGAAGTTGAGTGCCAAAAAGGCATTATCAGAGGATACAGAAATGGTGCACAGTAAGTCTAAGTTCGACACAGTACTGGAATATGAAGGGAGTCTGAGGGGGAAAAAAATTGACCACAATGGAGGCCATCCTCCTTTCTGACTATTGCTACCCCATCTGTGCCAGGGAAGACTGTCTTGCTAGCAATTTTAAAATGCTCATGTTCTTGAGGGAGGCTACTCCTCAGACAGCCTGTCAGCCTCACTCAGAATGTTATCCAATATCCTCTGAGCTGTTCAAAAGATTGGCACACTACAACTGGCAGTAGTCAACAAGTGTCTCTCACCTACACTGATTTTTTTAGAAGAAAAAAAATGTATAAAATTTGCATTTCCCATCTTCACAAGCAGTTGTCAAGCCCAATTCCACTTTCACTGCATCTTACATATATTTCACGTGACTGTGAAGTGATGGTTTTTTGAACTATAACTCATGTAATCAAGCACCATTTACCAAATTGCCTGCAGATCTTTGCACTTCAACCCTGGGCTAACGTAATGGACAGTCGTGCACAGTTTGTGGTTACGGCAAGGGACTAGGAATCAAAATTCTGGGGTTGTATTCCCAACTTTGTCCTAGATTCCTTATGTGACCCTGGGCAAGTAAATTAGCCTCTTCTCTTCATTTTCCCTATCCATATAAAATGAATCATACCTAGCATGCTGGGAGCTATGATGCTTAGTTAGTGTTTGTGAAGAGCTTTGAGTGCCTTTGACGAGAGGTGCAATAGAAATTGTTGCACTTTAACAGTTTATAAGGGTCTATTGTTGTGAAAGCTAGACCATGTACTTAAAATAGGGAACAGGGCTGGAACCAGTAATAGAAACCACATCTATATAAGTACTATAATTACATGTCCTCCAATGACCTTAGTTCTCTGTGACTGCGTATGCGGCAGCTAAATCAATTCTGTAATGAAAATTACAAATTGTTGAAAAATAGACATTTTAGTAATACATGTTAATGCAAATATAGTGTATTAGTGGCCAGGAAAATGGTGCATTTCTAATCAACCTGCACATCATTACCAGTGGAAATTCTCAGCTGTGAGGTAGAACAACTATAAAGCTGTTCTTTAAAAAATAGAAAATTCAGTGGTAGTTTTAAAGAATATGGAGAAAGAAAATACTTATGGGATTAATAAATTAAAATACGTGTATGGGTTTTTCTTTAATTAGCGAATATACAGAGGAACAAGCCCATGCACCTAACCTATCATCTCCCAGCTAGGCCTCCAGAGGCTGGTTCTTGCCAATATGTGTTTTTCTCTGCCCTAAATTGTTCCACAGGGAGAACAATAAGCACAAGAGAAAGATGAAGGAAAGTGAGGTCCACTACTTAGCAGGGAAAGAGAGTTAATAATGGATGACATCAAGAAGGCTGAGGTGTTTAATGCCTATTTTGCTTCAGTCTTCTCTAAAAACATTAATTGTGTTGACCAGATACACAACACGATTACTATTAACAACAAGGCGGGAGGAATACAATCAAAATAGGGAAAGAACAAGTTAAAGAATATTTAGCTAAGTGAGCTGTATTAAGTCAGCAGATTCTGATGAAATTCATCATAGGCTACTTAAGGAACGAGCTCAAGCTATCTTGTAAACATTAGTGATTATCTTTGAGAACTCATGGAGGCTGAGTGAGATCCCAAAGGCCTGGAGAAGGGCAAATAAAGTACCTATCTTTAAAAGAGGACAAAGGGGACTTGGGGAATTATAGACCAGTCAGCCTAACTTTAATAACTTGTTCCAGTATCACTCCAGGTATTAAACAATCAATTTGCAAGCACGTAGAGGATAATAGGCTAATAAATTACAGCCAACATCAATTAGTCAAAAACAAATCATGCCAAACCAACCTTATTTCCTTCTTTGACAGGGTTACTGGTCTAATGAATGGGGGAAAGCAGTAGATGTGACGTATCTTGATTTTAGTAAGACTTTTGACCCAGTCCCACATGACATTCTCATAAACAAATTGAGGAAATGCAGTCTAGATGAATTTACGACAAGGTGGGTGCATAATTGGTTAAAAGACCATAGTCAAAGAGTAGTTATCAATGGTTTGCTGTCAAACTGGGGGGGCGTATCTAGTGGGCTCTTGCAGAAGTAAGGCCTGAGTCTGGTACTATTCAGTATTTTCATTAATGACTTATATAATGGAGTGGAGAGTACGCTTATAACATTTGCAGATGACAAATGGGAGGGGTTGAGACCATTTTGAGGGGCAGGATTAGAATTCAAAACCTTGACAAATTGGAGAATTGGTCTGTATAACAGGGTGGCTTGCTCTGTGAGATGGAGAGCCTTGGGCTAAACCAACATGATTACAGAATGATCCCCACCTTTGAAGGAAACCAGGCAATTCCCCATAAAGAACCAGGCTTAAAGGGTGATAAAACGTGGCCAGGAAAGAGATGGAGTGAGGTCTAGGTAGGAAGATCAGAGCAGTAAGGAGGGCTGGGAGAGACCCTGGATAACCAGGAAGTAATTGGGAAACTCAGAGGGGGAATTTGAAAAGAGAACTAGGAAGTGGCCCAGAGGGAAAAAATCACAGCAAAGGAAAAGGAGCAGACCTAGGTGATTGGAACAGGGCCGTGCGATAGAACCCAGAATTGACACTGGGACTGGTTCCCCCTACCAGGCCCAAGAAAAAACTATTGAGCCCAGCAAGGGGGCTACAGGCTGAGCTGAAAACAGGTTTAGGAAGAGCCCCAGAAAGGGCAGAAGGACTTATTTCTGATAAAGATGTTATTGCACTTTTAATTTGGGACAATTGGGGCCCTGGAAGGGGTGAACTAAAGATGGTGACTCAGCCAGAGGGGTGAGTTATCAGGGAGAGAAACCACCAGAGTGCCACCAGGGGATGCTAGCTCAGCGAGAGCCGTGTTGCCACACCTTGCCAGGGCGGTGGGGGGGGGGGAGGGAGCCTAGTGGTGAGCAAACCCTGTTACAGTCTGAATTCAAAGGGACGAAATTCAGTAAAGACCAAGTGCACAGTACTACACTTAGGAAGGAAAAATCAAATGAAGAAATACAAAATTGGAAGTAACTGTCTAAGCAGTAGTATTGCTGAGAAGAATCTGGGGGCTCTAATTGGAGCCCTGTCTTTTTCATAGAATAATAGAATTATAAAAATGTAGGGCCAGAAGGGACTTTGAGAGGCCATCTGGTCTAGGCCCCTGCACTGAGGCAGGAGCTGGTTTACCTAGCCCATCCCTGACAGGTGTATGATGGGGATTCCACAACCTCCCTGGAAGTCTGTTCCAGATCTTAACTAGCCTTATAGTTAGAAAGTTTTTCCTAGTATCTAACCTAAATCTCCCTTGCTGCTGATTCCATTACTTCTGTCTTGCCTTCAGTGGACATGCAGAACACTCAGTCACCATCCTCTTTATAACAGCCCTACATTTCTATGATTCTAAGTTTCTGGAAATTTTCTCCCTCTTGGGTGATCTGCTCTGGTTTCATTCAGAACACACACACGTGAAGTTATGGTGGGTTTTTTAGATTTTATTTATTGATATTTTGGGTCATTTACCATAAAGGCATTGACATAGAGAAGTACATATCTTAATACAGACTTGCTCAATATACAATATGTTGATTTAGTATTGTTAACTATTGTTATAGCATTAACCTCTCCCCTATCCTCCCACCCCAAATTATTTAAACACCGCCTTAACGTAGTGTTATATAATTAATGACTGGGGGGAGAAGCTGAAAAATATTTTCATGG